CTCCGGCGGGCCGCGGCCCCTCGGCTCGTCTGTCGGGTGCTTACCGCGCGGCTGCTGTTGCGCGATCGCAGCCCGGGGGTTCGCGCCCCGTCCAGATCCCCGGCCTGGCCCGAGACGCGCGCTCCGACGCCGCTAGGCCGAGCGCTGTCCGTTCCAGCGCCGCCCCACGCCCCGGGGCCCGGAAAGACGCCCGGCGCAGGCCGCGACCCGCCCGGGAAGGGCAGGAGGCCTGGGAGAGGCCGCAGGCGTCCCGAGACCGGCCGCAAACGCCGCCAGGGACACTGAGGAGGCCCGCCCTGGGGCTGCAGCCAGGCTTAGCTCGCCGCTGCCTGCCGCTCCCGGCTGCCACCTGGCGCGAGCGGCCGGGGCTTAGCTTCTCGGCTGCTTGCTTTGCGGTGCTTTTCCTCAGTGCACGTCTGCAGCACAGGATAGGCACCTCCACCATGAGGGGTCGGTACACGCACCCAACACGTCTCTTCTCGTCGCCCAGCTCTTCCTCCTCCTCTCTCCCGACCCGCAGCCCCCTTCCCCTTGGCCAACGCCCTGTTTCTGGTGGAAAGTACTCTGTCCCTCTTAGTCTATCGGCTGCTGCTATAACCGAACACCACGGACTGAGTAACTTATTTAAAAGAAAGGCTTATTTGGCTCATGAAGTGAAAGGTAAGTCCAGAGCAGACGGCCACGTCTCTGGAGGCGCTTCTTGCCGGGGGAGCTCTCTGCGGAGCCCTGAGGGGTGCAGGGCGTCCAACTCAGCCGTGTCCTCTTCTCCCAAAGCCGAAGACTCGGGGGTCAGGGCGCCCCCTTTACGCCTCCTGGCACCTTAATGCTGCCTCGCGAAAGCTCCGCCTCCAAATCCCGTAGTCAGGTTAAGTTTTACTCTCTGAATACTTCCTAACAGAGATCACACTTCAACATGACTTTTGGTGAGACCCTCAAAGCATGGCACTTGTGTTCTCAGTGAGCACCGGGTCATGGGGAGACCCCAAAAGCCTTGCTCGCTTGTGTAAAGTACAGACGTACACGCAGTGCAGACACAAATATACAGTACATCTGGCACATTAAAATGTCACGGAGAGGTGGTGAAAAATTCCTAAAAAGACTCCCAGGAAGGAGGGATAGGAAAATGAAGAAAGTGGTGATGAAGATATGGTGTTTATCATAATCACCCGTGTACACAGATTTTTCCAGGGGGATGAGGCAGGTAGTTCGTTAAAAGGTTCAAGCTCATATCCACCCTGGAGAGAGAGGAGCTGGGGAAACGGTGTATTCCCCAGCCAGAGGCTTGCATCAAATGAGCCTTGAAAAATATTGATCTAAGAAGTGCTTGCTTCTCTTTCAGACACCCCAAGGATTACACAACCGGCCTAGGGAACGTTTGATTCCCTTTCAGACATCCCTAAGGACCAAAGTGTGTGGGAAATCCCACTCCTCCCGGGTGAAGTCCAGCGGTCACTGCAGGCATTGCTTGGGGTCGGGCTTGGGTTCACTTCTGAACCTGGGAGGAAGGGCGCAGTTCCTGATGCTGCAGTCCTGTCAGCCCAGCTTGGATGCTGATCTGGGAAAGGGCTTCTCCAGCCTGGACCTCTGACCCGTGCATGCAAGCGGGCTTTAAATCTATTTCCCAATATACATGGCCTCATCTGAAAATTTCACGGTCCTGAAAAGAGAGATGCTTTAGGAAATTTTTCTTCTGCCAAATCTATTAGGTTAAATTCTGGCTGAACATTTGTTTTTTGCCTTTAAGGTACATAGAAGTTTCCAGCCATCCTTGATGAAGACTTACCTAGAAAAATGAACATGTAGAATAGTAAGGAAAATACAAAACTTACTACTCGATAATAAGGAAGTAAATTCTCCAGGTGGGTGTGATGGTACATGCTTATAATCCCAGCCCGCTGGGAAGCTGAGGAAAGAGGACTGCAAGCCTGAGGCCATCCTGGGCTGCATAGAAAGTTCAAGGTCAGCCTGGAACACAGTGAGACACTGTCTCAAAAAGTATAAACAAAGAAGTAAATGTCCCAACTAGAAAAGTGTGCTAGGGACTTGAAAAGGCATTTCTTTAAAGAAGATATAGGAATGGTCACAGAAATACACAAAAAGTTTCTCAATACCACTAGTCTTCAGGAAACTAAAAATCAAGCCACAAGAGGACACTACATCACACCCACAGGCATGACTAGCATTAAAGCCAGCAAACAAAGACAGTAGAAAATATGAACTCTCGAGGAGAATGCGGAGAAATTACAGCCTCTTGTGCTGCTAATAGAAATGTAAAATGGTTCAGTTGTCGTGAAAACACTTTGAAGATTTTTCCAAAAAGCTAACCAGTAATACATGACCCAGTAATTCTACTCCTAGGTATATAGCCCAAAAGAATGGAAAACATGTTCAAATAAACACTTGTGCATGAACATTCAAAGCTACACTATTCAAAACAACCAGAGGTAAAAACAACCCAAATATCCATCAACTGATGAACACGTAAATAAAATGTGGCATATGCCTGCAAATATAATTTGACCACACAAAACAATGAAAATAAATGATATACACTACAGCATAAATAAATCTGGAAAATATTATACTAGTAAAACAGGCCACTTACAGAAGAATATATATTATATATGTATTAGGTATCCTGTTGCGGGGACAAATTACCCAACACCCATAACCTAAAGGAGGAGAGGTTTAATTTGGCCCCAGGAGATTCAGTCCATGGTAAGCTAGCTGCAAGGCAAGAACTCATGGGGGAGGAGCCTGGCAGAACCAAGATGCTTAGTTCAACATGGTGGCCAGGAGCAGAGCAAGGGAATAGCGCCAGAGATGAGGAGGCCAGGGATCACATCTAGTACCCCAAGTCACACATCTGTGACACACACAGACACACACAGAAGGGTACTTCACTAATCCAATAGGTGGCTTCCAAGGTAATCAAGCCAACATAACTATGTTTAACCACCACATTATGTAATTACATTTATAGGAGGGTTAAGAACCAGCAAACCTATAGGTCAGAAAGTAGGTTAGGGGTTGCTGAGGGACAGTGGGGGTGAGAGGGGGAGGGGAAATAGCTAAAGACTATGCGGCTTTTTTTCAATTTTTTTATTTTAAAGAGAAAAGAAAATGAAATAACAATAAAGACAGAGACAAAATAAGACAAAAACAATAAAAATGATACAGAATTTGAGAACAAAGGGATTGGGGGTATAGCTCAGTGGCACAAGCACCTGCCTGGCAAGTGCAAGGTCCTGGTTCG